CGATGTAATAGCCCTTTAAATGTGATTGCAAGTCTATTTACTAAGCTTACACACCAAGTTATTTTAGATCTCTTTCTTCGACCCAATTTGTCGCTTAGGCACTTTAAATTCCAATTCAATAAAGTGTTATCACATACTATAAATAGAATATTATCAAATATTATGTATTAAGTATTATATATTGTTCTCTATACTAAGTTCATATACCAAAATTCATTAATTATATTTAACCCCTAATAAATCAATATCATATCAAATCAAACTTATTTACAGCTAACAAACAACTCTAAAATTTCTCACTCTGTATATACCTTTGTCCTATAATGTAATTAATATTCAAGGTTCCAGTTAATCTAAGTCAACCCAATTTAACAGACCCATGAAGGGTTCAGCTGGAGACCATTTGTGGTGGCACAGGGAGTCGTATGCTGGGTTAGGAGGTAATTAGCAAGTCTGGAGTGCCAATCTATGGGCCCAAACATCTCCAGGACATCCTTAGCAAATCTGACTGCACTTTCAGCCAGACCATTACTGGCAGGGTGAAAAGGAGCTGTTAGGGCGTGTCTGATTCCTTGGTTAGCTAGGAAAACCTCAAATTCACAGGAAGTAAACTGGGGGCCGTTATCAGACACAATGGTGTCAGTGAGGCCATGGGTGGTGAATATTCTCATCAGGGCCTTAATGACAGCTTCTGAAGTTGTGGAGGTCATTAAAGTCAGCTCTACCCATTTAGAAAAAGAATCAACCATCACTAAGAATGTTTGCCCATGAAAAGGGCCAGCCAGAAAAATATGCACCCTGGACCAGGGCCCCCCTGAATCTTCCCACGTTCTTGGAGAGGATTCTGTAGGAGGTCTGGTGGTCTGGCATGGCTGACAAGCATTCAACCAGGTAGTAATCTGAGCATCCATGCCCGGCCACCATACAAAACTGCGAGCTAGAGCCTTCATCCTGACAATGCCAGGATGACCCTCATGCAGGACTTCTAAAACTGAGGTCTGCAACTGGGAAGGTCTGCACTACCCTGGTCCCAAATAAAGCAGCCTTGCAAAGAAGACAATTCTTGCTGGCGAATTTTGAAAGGCACGAATTTGGAAGAATAAGGGGCTGTAGGCCACCCGCTTCCCACCCAGTCAAGGTCTTGGGACATTACCTTGTCCTTAGCAGAGTGGGCAGCAATATCAGAGGTGGTGATGAGAAGCTTGAGGTCATTGATTAGGAACACAGCATTGGTTGGTGCAAGATCCTCAACTGGAACAGGCAGGGGGCAGCGACTAAGGGCATCAACATGGCTGAGGCTTTTGCCTGCTCGATGAACCAGTGTATAAGATTATGCAGCCAGAAATAATGTCCACCTGGTCATTCTTGGAGACAAAATCTGAGGTGTTTGTCTGTTGCCTTGCAGAAGACCCAAAAGAGGCTTATGATCTGTAACTAAGTCGAAATGGTGTCGAAATGGAACTTCTTGACTGAAGCAACTGCATCCTAAGCCTCTTTGTCAATTTGACTGTAGTTGAGCTTAGCTGGAGATAACATTCTGGAGAAAAAAGCAATGGGTGCCTCAGAACCATTAGGCAGTCTGTGACTTAAAATGGCTCCTATGCCAAAAGGTGATGCATCTGCAACTACGACTAAAGGCAAATTTTTGTTGAATTGAAATAGAACAGCATCAGATGTAAGTAATGATTTGACTGCTTTGAAAGCATAGGCTTCCTTAGGTCCCCAATGCCACGAGGATTATTTTTCCAGGAGTCTATGCAGAGGTTCTGCAATGGAAGCCTTATGTGGCAAAAATGAAGCATAGAAGTTAAGGAGCCCCCAAAAATCCTGAAGTTCAGTTTTGTTAGTTGGTGTGGGTGCCTTGTGAATAGCCCTTCCTTTGGATTTGATTGGGTGAATGCCAGAGCCGTCAATTCTGTACCCCAAAAATTCGACCTGTGGGGTGGCAATAGTGCATTTCCCTTTTTTCAATTTGAGACCCGACTTTCTGAAACACTTGAGGACACCTCTGACTCTTTGCAGTAACTGTGGCTTGTCAGGGGCAGATATTAAAATGTCATTGAAATAAGGTATTACGCCAGATAACCCTTGAAGCAGTCTTTCCATTAACGAATGGAAAATTCCTGGGGCTACACTAACACCAAATTTGAGGCGCCTACACTTAAAAGCGCCCCTGTGCATTACAATAGTTTGTAGCTCTGCGGCTGTGTCATCAACAGGGAACTGTTGATAGGCTTGTGATATGTCTAGTTTCACAAAAATGGTTCCTGGCTCAAAAGAATGCAGCAGGTGCTGAATAATTGGGACTGGATAAGCGCTGATTTGTAAATATTTGTTTAGAAGCACTTGTAATCAGCACAAATTCTTAAAATGCCATCTTTCTTCAAGGGTGTCACTATTGGGGTTTCCCTTTTTGAGAAGGCTACAGGCTCTAATATGCCCTGTTTAATTAATTTGTCTAGTTCCTTGTCCAGCTTAGGACAGATTGCAAAAGGTACTCTTCGAGGATTTAAACGAATTGGAACTGCTAGATGGTCCAAGTTGAAAGAAATTGGGGTTTCCAAATAACAGCCTAGGCCTTCGCTGAACACCTCAGCATAGTCACTGAACAAGGCGTCCACCTCTGAATTTACAATAGAGTGGATTCCGCCGATATGAAGGCCAAGGGCAGGGAATCAGTCTAACCCCAACAGGCTTGGGAGGGCACCATCCACTACCACTAAAGGCAAGTGACCGTTAAAATTTTGAAATTGAATAAAAAACTTGCCTTTTTCAGATGAGTGGGATGGTTCTGCCTTGGTAGTCACGTAGGGTTAAGTTGCAGCCTTGAAGACTCTTCTTTGCCATCCTGGGGAGCAGTCATTTCAATGTGCTCCACAAGATGATGGACAGCGCTGAGCTGATGTCTACCTGCATCCTGCAATGTTTCCCTTTTAAAGAAATAATAACACTGATTTTTTAGAGCCTTTGATTGTCAGCTTGACATGGTAGCAGGTGAAACAGTCTTCAATTTGTTTTTGAAAATGCTGAGTTGTTTAAGGTTTCTGTGGTTGGGCAAAAGGCTTTCCTGCCTGACAAATCCTGGCTAAATAACCCTTTCTCTCGCATTTTAGAAAAATGGCATTCCTGAACTTGCAGGATGCCCTAAGGTGATTTCCTCCACGGCTTAGACAGATGGGTTGAGATCGTGGAGGTTGATTGGGAACTGAACTGTTTTCCCTCTGACTGGTTTTGGACTGCCTGAGGTCCATAACTCGTTTCTTCAGAGCCTTCCTCTGTGGAGGCCTCATAGTAATGAATGGCTGAGCTGTTCTGACTGACTGGATTTCCCTGAATTTCTGCTGTTGAAAATGCTGACAGCTCTGCAGCTTGAGATTCCTCTATTGGTAATTTTAGGGTCAAATCCCCTTTAGCCAATAGACGCCTTTTTAGCCTTAAGTCCCGGACTCCACAAACTAGTTGATCTAATAGCATGTCCTCCAGATAGTCTCTAAACCCACATTGCTAGGCAGCTGTTCATAAAGGTGCCATATACCCACTTAATAGTCCCTCCCTCAGCCTGGGTCGATCTCCTAAAAGCATGACACCTAGAAAATCGGGAGAGCTTAGGGGAATAATGGTTAGAAAAAATTTCCTGCAATTCTTCCCATGGAACAGTCTTAATTGAATATGGAGCCAGCAATGCTGTAGCAGTGGCAAACACTGTGGCTCTGCAAAAACTTAAAATGTAAGATTTTTTCCTATGGTTGGAAATGTCAGCGAGGTCTACGGCATCTAGGAAACAGTTGAATCGGTTTCTGTAGGATTCCCATGTCTCTGCTCTCAGTCTGAAGGGTGGGAATGCAGGGTTTGAAGTCATCTCGACTCAGCGGTGGTGGTTCTTCTGAGGAAAGTTGAAATTCGAGCTCATGAATAGTGACACTAAGCTCTTAAAGTGACATACAGCTCGGTAGTGGCTTTGGCTATTTTTGTAGTGACTTCGCTCAGCGATTCTTTGCTCTTATATGTATCCCGCCCTCGTTGCCAGTGTAGTGGAGCGGCAGAATAACTGAGGCGAACACGGAGCAAACTTCAGCTTTAACTTTATTGAAACAATAAAGGGTTGCTGTGACTGCCGCGTTGACAAGGCAGCCAGCTCGCAGGCAACAGCTGATGCTGTTTGACAGCTCCCTTTTATAATCAGCTGTGAAACGCATCAGCCAATAGGAACAGTCTGTGTTCCTGTGGGAAGCACGGACCGGAGTGAAGACTTCAGCTCAGTCTTTTCAGAATGCAACAATAACAATACAAGAGCAAACAATAGACACAAACTCAAGATAAACCACACCAAACTTGATTGCAGAAAATACAACTTCAGCAACAGAGTGGTCAATGTCTGGAATACTCTACCTGACTCTGTGGTTTTTTCCCCAATCCCCAAAACCTTTAACCTTAGACTGTCTACTATTGACCTCACCCCTTTCTTAAGAGGTCTGTAGGGGGTGTGCATAAGCGCACCAATGTGCCTACCTTCCCTGTCTTATTTTTTCTTTTTTTTTCCTTATTCGTATCCATTTCATGTATTCATAAGTATGTTTATAGTTATACCTGTTATCTTATAATTGCTTCCCAAAATAAATAAAAAACATCATCCCTGAAAACGAAACATAACACCAACCTATATAGCAACAAAAACACACATTATTAGCCATAATCTTTAATTTAGTCTAAAACCATATCAGAACATCTCTGGTAACAGTTTATCCAGCCTGGTTTCAGAAATTTTATTAATGTCATTGATGATAGTGATGCTTTAACAGGAATTCAGATTGTGACAATTGAAAGATATGATTAATTGAAATAGTTTGAATTGTTTTAGCAACATTACTACTCAATTATTATAATTCAAAATGCACACAGAATGAAGAAAAATAAGTGAGAATACATAAAACTTTACTTCAAGATTTGTGATTTTATACTGGATGTAAACTGAACAAAAATAAACACCAATACAAGGAGTCTTAATGAGATTTCATCATCAGATGTTCCTTGGTGTTTATGTCAGGTCTCAGTGTAATAATGTAGCACTTGGGAACAAAAATACAACCCAATAAACCTAGGCTGGAGGCCAATATGGAGAAGATCTGCACAGCCACCATGTATTTCCCTTTGGTGCTCAGGTAGCCGGGCACAAAGGAGATCCATACACTACAAAAAACCAAGATGCTGAAGGTGATCAGTTTGGCTTCATTGAAGGTCCCTGGCAGATTTCGAGCCAGAAATGCCACCAAGAAACAGATGGCAGCAAGAAAACCCATGTAGCCAAGGGCAGTGTAGAACATGGTCACTGAACCTTCGTTGCACTGCAGCAGGATGTGTTCTGGCTGGGAATGAAAGTCAGAATCTGGGAATGAGGGAAAGATTCCCAGCCATGTCATACAGATGCCTACTTGAATACCAGAGCAGGATAAAACAATCGAGTGGGCCAGACCCTTCCCCAGCCATTTCCTCATCCTGCTTCCTGGCTTTGTAGCCAGGAAGGCCACCACCACCATTACAGTCTTGGCCAGCAAAGAAGATACGGCAACAGAGAAAACAATACTGAAAATGGTTTGTCGAAGGAGACAGGTCATTTTCATGGGGCGACCGATGAATAGAAGGGAGGTCAAGAAAGAAAACAGGAGAGAAACCAGGAGAACATAGGTGAGTTCACGGTTGTTGGCTTTGACTATGGGAGTTTCTTGGTGTTTAATGAAGATTCCCAGAATAAAGGCAGTGGTTAGGGACAAAGCAATGGCAAAGAAACTCAGGATGAGTCCCAATGATTCTTCATAGGATAAGAAGCTTATGCTTTTGGGAATACACTGATCCCGCTTCTTATTCGAATACTGGTCATCTGGACACTTTTCACAATGGGCTGCATCTGCAAAAAAAATGGTTAGTGCGTACCTCTTTCTGCTGCTGTAGGAGCATGAAAACCGCATCAGAAATCAATTATTTCATTTTCAAAGAATAATATAATATTTTTGCCCAGGGATATTCATATGACACAACATTAGTTCAAATAACCAACAACCTTTTTAAAGGCTGAGGATGCATGTGATTATCAGTTCTCAAAACCTGTACTCTTTCCCAAAACGAAGCAAGAAATTAACACCTCAATAGATTATTTTAATGCTTGCATCATCGTACAAAATTTGATAGTGATAGTGCTCAATCATTGAAATATTTGTGGATGCCTTCAAGATTTGTAATGTTTTTTCTTGCTTCTTGATCAAATACCCCCAAAAAGCAATAGAGAATTTTGATTGTATCCTTGTTGTTTTTGAAGCCACCGACCGTACCTTCTTGCCCAGAGAATGTTCCTTCCACACACGGAGAACAGTCGTAGCAGCAAACTGGGGCTCCCTCTCTCACAAGCTTGGCATAACCTGGGGAGCAACTTTCTGTACATCTTGAATAAGGCACCGTCTAAACATAAACCAAAAGATTAATCAGGGCAATATATAAATAAGAGGTAATATATAAAGAGACGTGGTGGGTCAGTGGCTAAGATGCTGAGCTTGTCAATCAGAAAGGTTGGCAGTTGGGCAGTTTGAATCCCTAGCACCACGTAATGGAGTGAGCTCCCATTACATGTCTCAGCTTCTGCCAACCAAGCAGTTCGAAAGAACGCAAAAATGCAAGTAGAAGAATAAGGACCACTTTGGTGGGAAGGTGCCAGCATTCTTTGCACCTTCAGCATTTATTCATGCCAGCCACATGGCCACGGAGACGTCTTCTGACAGTGCTGGCTCTTCAGCTTTGAAATGGAGATGAGCACTGCCTCCTAGATCCAGAAACGACTAGCACGTATGTGCAAGAGGAACCTTTAGTTTTCAACATAAACCACAAGATTAGTATGAATTATAAACGTTTACTAAAATCAGCTGGCTTCCAAAAGTCCGGACTATGATGCCTTTGTCTCTTTCCCCTATATTTATAATACTTAATATAGAATACATAACTTACATTGGGATTCTGTCTGGTACGTTCTAAAGTTATACAGTGTTATCAAAACCAATACAAATCTATTCATTAATACTGATATTCATTTACATCTTAAACATTTAGCACATTACTTTTCAGTTAAATCACATACTTTTATGGGAGCACCTATTTTCCGTAGTTATTCCTCCCCCCCCACATCACATATCTTAAATCATTGTTTCATTACAGTACTCCCCTTTTCTTAACAAAAGTTTCACTAGATTATACTAAATATTTTATCGCATTTTAAGTTACATATTATTTCCAATTTTCTATGGTTATTTCTAAATACAAATATAAAAATACAATCTTATGTATCTTTCTAGAATCCCTTTTTCAATAAAATTTATCCATTATCTCTAAAAAACTTTTGCTTCTTTACATTTTGCTCCCCACCATTAAGGCTTCTCATCCCTTCCTTTCTCCCTTGCTTCTTCTTCTCCTTGTCCTCTTTACCCCCTTGTCTCTCCATCTCCCTTTTATTCTGCTTTCCCCCTTTCTGTTGTTTCCTAACATAATATCCCCTTTTCACCTTATTCTTCTCTTTTTGGATTATTTTTCCAGGTTTTAAAGTCTTCTTTTTCTTTTTCTCTTCTTTTTTCCTTCCCCGACCAAAGTCACTTGTTCATCAAATATGGCTGCTTCTTTGTCCCAGTCATCCTGTTGCTCATTCAGCTTTACATAAGTACAAACCGCCATTTCTAAAAATTGAAAAAGAGTGCCAAGGACATCTTTCCCTTCTTGCTTTTCTTTTTCATATTTTTGATATACAAGTTTCAGTCCATCCACAAGTGATGCCATTGTGTAGAGAAAAAGTTTTTCCAAACAACCACCTGAGTGCTTTTAATCAGAAATAATTCTCAGAAGTTCCAAAATCACCAAACAATCCAAACAAGCTATTTCTTTTAAATACTTTCTCCTTCTTCACTTTCTCTTTCTGGGGTTAAAGTTTAGTCACAAAGTTCCCTTTAAAATATATCTTTTAGAAGTCTTATTGATGTTTAGTAACTCTTTGAAGTTCTAGGCAATCTTCTCCTTATTTTCAAATTTTGCTCCATTTTTTTTTCCCCTCTCCCTTCCCACTCACAGCCAAAAATATTTTTTTTTTCCTTTAAATGTTCAGAAATCCTTATCCCTTCAGCATTCAATTACCTCCAATGCAGGTTTTCGGATTTCTCTTGTGATTCCATCCGCTGTCACGTTAGGAAGGAGAGTGAAACAAAAAGAAAAAAGAAAACTCCTTTTTAGAATATTCGCAGCTTGTAACTCTCACTGGAAACAATGTATCTTTAGCAGCCTTCAACATTCCAGGAAACTTTCTCTTGCCTTATCCCGGTTGAAAGCAACTTTCATAATTCTTCCAACTTTCTCCCTCCTGCACCTTCTTGTCCGGCTGCAGATTTATCCGTGGCGGCCATTGCTGACTGCCGCTCCTCCGCCTTGGGAAAAGGAGGTCCTGCTGGCTGGGGAGGGGGTCTGTGACAAACCCAAGCCCCTGTCCGGATCCCCCCTGTCTTCAGCTGCCTCTACGGGGCAGCTATATCCCCCAGATCCAAACAGATCGGGGGAACCTTGGCAGTGAGCGCAGCAGGGATCGCGCAGTATCGCAAATCCCTGCCGCTGCCAAAGCCTCGCAAACCGGAAGTCCGTAAATGGCTTTTTAAAGCTGCCTTCATTTCCCTCACCACATTCTTAATGATATCTTCCTCTTATGCAATTCAATGGGCTAAACCCTTCCTATTCTGGATTTTCTCCCCAAGAAGCTTTTACAAAAGAAAACTCATCATTTCACTGACAACTGATTTTAAACAATCAGAATATTACTAAAGCTGGGAATGTTGGTATGACTGGATAGAACAAAGATAGGAAATATATTAGTAAACAATGTTAACTGTAAAGGAGGTAGCAATTACATACTCACAATAAGATGTTCTGACTGAATGGTGGCATATGGAAGGGTTTATATTCATTGCAGTCATCTGGTCGTTAACAGTCTTTTTGAAAGTTGTTTAGGCCCCTTGGAATTTATCTGTGCCCTCAGGGTCACGTGAATAGTGCAAATGGGAGTGGAACCTTCCTGCAATTGCTGAATCTATATCCTGTTGACAACACAGTCTTTTCAGCAGTCCCAAAACCTACCATCCTCCACCATTCAGTCAGAACAGAAGAAAGTTCTTGGATGAAAAGTGAAACATCTTCAATGGAAAACAAAATCCAGGTGCTTTCTGAAAAAACACCTTTGGCACAACCATGACCTGGATCACTGACATAGACATTCTGGAGTTTCTCTTACTGAAAACAAATTAATTTCATGTACTATAAATTATGGCAACATATTCCAGTTTAATAATGTAGATTGCAAATTCTGCAATACAATGCAGCAGGTTCCAGTGTGTGACAGATTATTGTAAGACCTCTAAAGTAAAATATATCTAATAAATTAATGAGGCCTTAAGTTCTCTTAGTTGGAAGTTTTCTCAATTGGCCTCCATAAGAATTATTTCTGAGCATAAAATTTACACATATGGAGATAAATAAGAGGAAAATCCAAGCAGCCTCAACTACTTTGTTAAATAAAGTTGGCCATTGGATGGCACTTTGATTGACAGAAATCTTGACTTCTGAAGAGGATTGGCTTTCTACACTCCCAATTTTCACCCCCGCGTCTGATTTGTTCCAAACTGATGTCCAGTGCATGATATCAAAATCACCAACAGGAACTCCATTTTCATCAAAAGAAATCCCATCTGTGGAAATATTTTGATGTTGGAAGTTCCTCAGGAATCTATGGAGCTGCAGAAACATAGAAAGAATATTACAATTTGAGCCTTTATTCAATGTTTTTCTTGCTCTTATTATGGATTGGAGGTACTCTGAATAATTCAACCTCTTCAAATCATCAAATTTGCAGGCAACACTAAGCGCTGGCAGGAATAGGCAACATCCCAGAAGACAAGCTGAATATCAAAAAAGATCTCTGCAAATTGGATATGGGCCCCTACCTAACAAAATAAAATTCAGCATAGATAAAAGTAAGGATTTCCACTGAGGCAAGAAAATACAAAAGTACACGTTGTTAGGGATAACATTGTTTACCCTAACTGGTTTGGGTAAAAATAATAAATAAGTTATCATGGTTTGTTGGTTAAAGTGTGTGTAACTTTAACTAAAAGAATGTAATTAAGGGTGTGGTTGTAAAAGCACCTTAAAAGAAGCAAGTCAATTGCAGCTCTCTCTCTCTGGCTTAATGATCCCTAATTACTGGATGGATTGATGACTGCGTTTTTCCTTACTGGAACGGAGGAGAGAAAGGAGTGTTGATTTCTCAACGGAGAGAAGAGATAATACGGACTGATTTATTGTAAGTGAACTGACATTGGATATTCAACACGGACTTTGCAAATTGAGTATCCCCGACTGGACTGACTGAAATGATACATGACTAATGGACTGTTTATTTTGACTATGCTATAATTCCTAAAGGAATAAACTATATTTTTGATAGCACAAGCGTATCTGTTTTTTACTGCGTGTTAACTAAAATACAAACTTATCTCACACATTTACCTGTCTGCCTATGTGACTACGCTACACATTCTGTTTAGTTTGCTTTCCTTAACACTGGTTGAGGAATTCAGGCTTAACACTGGTTATGGGCCCAGAGAGACTGCAAAGTCAGTTTAACTAGGATAAAAAACAGGTTTATGTAAAAAGTGAGATTTTGTGTTGTTACGCGTTACAGTAAACAGACAGCTGTGTTTTTATTAATTATAGTTTTATATCCATATATTGAAACATGGCACAAGTCAGTCTACAAAGTTTGTCCCTTATATCCAAGCTGGATGGAACAAACTATGTTTCATGGTTTATGAAATGTAGTCTACTTCTACGAAGAGAAGGTCTGTGGAACATAATTGAAAACCAACAAAACGTAGAGGAATTGGATACTGAAAAT